CATCACAATCAAGTACTTCCCACCCTCCAAATATGTCTTGATTCTGTCTGCAAGTTGGCCATCCATCATATACTTGAAATCATCAACTTGCTTCATGAAATTACTTAGAATGTTCAAGATTGCTTCTGGTTCATGTTTTGAGACATAAACTCAAAGACAAGTACAAAATTTATATTGAAGTTCACTGTCACTAAACACCTTTTTAGTTAATGTGGTTTTGCCCAAACCTATCATCCCTACAATTGAGATGAAAGCCAAGTCGTTTAAATCTTCATTGAGACAATCCTTTATAGTTTGGCCTCGCTATCAAAAGCCTACCACATCTTCCTCCTCCACCACAATGCTTTAACAATTTCAAGAAAATGAAGTCAACAACTTAGATAAACGCCATGTCTTACGTACTACTTTTATGTGCATATTTGGCATCAAACTCATATTATTTTATGTTTAATTGGAAGCTAATTATGTTTTTATTTGATTTCTTTGTGTCATTTAAGTGATTTTGAGGCATTGGTTCTAAGATCATGTAAATTAGATCTCGATTGGATGTGTTTTGAGGTCATGCACATTGGCATAAAGGTGTGTTCTGGGAGTCATGAGAGCTTAAGAAAATGAAAAGCATTGGAAGTATCATGGAGTGACTCGGGGACCCAAATGAACAAAGGAAATGAAGAAATATGCATTTTGGAGTGAAGATCAAGGCTCTCGCTATCGTGCGTGTTAGCGTGAAAAATTCTGCTATGTTTTCTTTTTCATGCAATGTCACGGTATTTTAGCAATATCTCATTGTAAGAATGTCCAAATCAAGTGATTCAAAAGGTACTAGAAAGATAATTGAAAAAGATCAAGTGATTCAAAAGGCAATAGAAAGATAATTGAAAAAAAAAATCAACTTCTATGCAAATCACAAAGTCTAATTTTGATATCGACAAGATGTAAAATGGCTTTGAAACTATAACTGTTGCACAAAGTAAACAATCACAACCAACCTAATAGGCGTGAGGTCCACCGTGACCTTTGGGACCTACAAGCTATGCTTAAAACTCATGATGGAATCCATGGGCATGAGTTTGAACATGAACACAAGCAAAGATTTGTTCATTTTGGCACGAATTTGGAGGTATAAATATGCCTAGGCGGTTATTTTCATATGACTATATATCCATTTTTCCACTCTATCCAATTTTTCCTTAGAGAGAAACCTCTGCACAACATTTCTCCTTAGAATTATAATTGATCTACATTTGATGAAGATTTGAAGTGATTTCCAACTTGCAATTCAACTTTACTTTCAATTTCAAGATTGCATCTCCAATTTCTCTTGATTAAAGCTAAGCCTTCTTTACTTTACATTTTCTACAACTAAATTGTTCTTGAAATGGCTTCCATTTCAATTCGTGTTTGTGTTTCAATTCAAAGTTTGAGTAGCTAGATTCATCTAGGTATTTTGATTGAGCTCTCTACGTGAGTGAATTAAATTGCAATTGAGGATGGTATTTTGCCTTAACTAGGGTTCTTCTTGTGAGTTTGATGATTTATATGAACTCTTGTATAATTAGGATTCAATTATACAAGAAGATTATTGAGATGTGTTGTTACCATGAGAATGGACAACACTATAGCCACATCACTCACATTTCTAACTTCATTTTGAGAAAAGGAGGTTGGAAGAAGATGTAAACACTATATGTTTGATAAAATGCACTAATTGAATTAATCACCATAAGAATGGGATCTAATCTCAATTGGAAATCCAATAAAAATGGGATCTAATCTCAATTGGAAATTCAATGACCATGAAATGACTTTGGCATTGAGTAGCATCTTTCATGGTCCATGTTAATTTATCACATGATCCCTAGCCTAGTAAAACTCTATAACATCTAGGCAAGAGTGGTTTAATCCAAGCCCCTACTTTCACCTATTACTTGTCAATTGCTTTTGTTAATTGTTTTGCTAGTTTGCATTATACATAGTTATTCTTGAATGTTTTGTAACTTAATCTTTGAACTAGCTTCCAAACACTAGACACTCGTGATTAACCAAATACTATTCAACTCCTTTCATATTCACTCCTCTGAATTATATCCAGTGTAATGATACCCTCACACACACTAATCACTCCACTAAAACTCAACTTTCACTGATATACTTCAAAGATTTAACTCCATGGGTGTATTCAATCTGGATTGTATGTACTTTTAAAAAATTTAAAAGACATTAAAAGCATGATGGTATTCAATCTAGACTTTGAAAGAGTCTATAAAAGTCTATTTGTATTCGATTCAGTCTTTTAATGAGTCTTAAGTTTGTAGAAACTCAATCCAGAATTTTAAAAAGTATTTAAGAGTCTATTGGGATTCAAAAAGTTATTGACTTTTACATAATTTGTCAAACTACGACTTTTGTAAACTTTTTTTTCTCTAATATAAATAGTTAAAATCAATCTTTCAAACCCCAAACTTCTAAACTCTCCTACGCATTTTTTTTCTGTAACTTCTAAACTTTCTCTATGAACTTTTTCTCTCAAATACCTAAACAAAGCTAACTTTTCATCTATCTCAATCAAATTGTACCATATGTTTCAAAATATTAGTAAAAATATTTGTATATTTTGATTTTTATTCTTTCTACAAACTTTTTATCCCTAACTTCTAAACTTATAATCTCTACAAACTTTTTCTCTCTAAATACATAAACCAAAGCAAATTTTTTAACTATCTTAGTCATATAAGGCAAATTATGTTGTGCATCCGTATGCACCATGCACGGTGCATACAGATGCAAAAACGACGTCGTTTTAATAAAACGCGCGTCTCCCCTTAAAAAAAATCAGGTTCGATTCCCAGCAACAATATATGAACTAAAATTCCAGAATCGATAAACTATAATTTCATAATCGATGAACTATAATTCCATAATCGATGAACTATAATTCCATAATCTAATCTATGAACTAAAAATTCCAGAATGAATGAACTAAAATTCCATAATCTATGAACTAAAATTTCAGAATCGATGAACTACAATTCCAGAATTGATGAACTATAATTCCATAATCAATGAACTATAATTCCATAATCTATGAACTAAAATTCCAGAATGAATGAACAATATAATGTTGTTGCTGGGAATCGAACCTGAATTTTTTTTAAAGAGGAGACGCGCGTTTTTTAATAAAACGACGTTGTTTTGGCATCTGTATGCACCATGCATGGTGCATACGGATGCACAGCATAACTATCCGTCATATAAACCAACTCAATAAGCATTTTGTTTTACATAAATAAATAAAAAATAATGAAGCAAAACAATATATACAAAATATAATTTATTCAAGCAATCAAAAAAGTATACTAACTTGCAAATGTCTAACCAACATGATTGGCGTGGTGGTTCAGCACCTCGTCCCTTAAGCATGAGGTTGGAGGTTCGATCCCTGCCCATGTGAATGGAGCAAACCATTTGGCCAGTCCCCTACCACTTAATGGGATTAGGCTTTCGGCTGGGGGATACATTTGGGCAACCAAGAAAAAAAAACTTGCAAATGCCTAAATGTGCCATGTTTGCAACCATATCTATCGAAGGAGTGATGTGGGGTTTCTATCTTGTTCCTGTTTAAGACTACATATAAATAGCAAGGTTGCAGCCATAAGTGACCACCATATATCCAAGTTATACACAGACAATTTTGAGTGAGAATTGGTAAGATCAATACAACCATGTATGTGCGCTATTGTGCTAAGGACACACCAATACAGATCAGCAAATGGAAGGTCCAAATAAGTAGCCATATCCTTTAAAGCTTACCTTATATCATAACTTGGACAGTCACATTAAAACACTAGACAGAAGAGAACTAAGATGGATTACCAACAAGAGGAAGCACACTTATAAAAAAGTGATATTGACAACAAGAATTACCATATGTCATATGAAGTGTGTATCCATACAATTTTAACTATCATATGAGATAAAATAGTGATTCATCTTGGGTGTAAAGTAACATGTTAGCCATGAACTGTTAAGACTCCATATTGCAAATAAAGACCGCTATACTTGACAGTCAGTTTAAATTGAGAGAGGTGCTAAATTTAGAAAGTACTATTAGTTTCAATCAAACTATATCAGGTCACCACATACCTCGGATCTGGCAGCCAATCCAAGCTATATATACACACCCCTTGACCGGGATTATATTCCCATAAATGATGGAATGGATCACTACAAAGACACAAACATTTATGGATTAATAAGCAAAAGAGTGTACTACTACACAAGAGGAAAAATATTTACTTTTTAAGAACAAAGTAGTATGTTTGTTGTAGCAGAGAAAAGTAAATGCAAAAAAGTTAAGAGATTCTGACTACGGGCTTACACAAATCAGTTTTGAATTAGAATAAATAGAAGAGAAAAATAGAACATTCATAGCACACCCTTCTCTGGGAGAATGAATCCAAGTTTGATTGCACAAGTTAGTATAGAAAGGAGGAAAGAAAAGTGTACTGAATCTCACTTAAAATGAAAAGCACAAAACTTATTTCTATACCATAAGACAAATGAACTAACACAATTAAAGCACAAAAGGGAACACAGAATATAAGTAAAATTTTAGAAGCATACTGCAAATTTAGTGTTATATTGAATAATTTAGCTGACATTTATATCTGCAAACTATCGTATCCAATGAATACTGCTACATGAAAACCCAAACTATTCACCATTCAAGCTCAAAGCAAATATATACAAAATGGAAAAAGAATAAAACAGAGTGTTTTCCACATGGTGGAAAATAAACAAATAGAAGAAACTGGTTAGGGCCAACCTCTCAGTCTCAAGGTTAGAGTATTTCTAAACAAAGGGCTTTAACGTCTGGAAGATCAAATTGAAGCTAAAGTAAACAAAAAGCTGAAAATGTTTAGTAACAGCAAAGAAATAAACACAAGAATAGATTGTATTGGAGTATTAACGCTACTAAATACGAATAATGCCGGAAACACCTGAACAGAGACGGTTGGATCTTCGACGGAGCACCATTCGACTATCCTCTATAAAATCTGCTGCAAACGGAAGAGTCTCCGATTAGCAACGGCGTCGTGGAGGCGGTGGTAGCAGCAGTTGTGCAGTCGAAACACAAGAACATTAATGCAACAGGGATGAACAAACAAGACTCCATTAACGAAACTTAAACGAAAAAACGAAAAACAACCCTCAACACTACTGCTTTTCTTCTTTATCTTCCTGTTTCCAGCAACTTTGAAGAACAGGATTTGGTGAACCACAGGCAAAAGTAGCCCTAACAAACTTCTAGTAGATAACAGAACCACAGCCAATCCCAAACTCTTCAATGCTTTTCTCACCGAGGCAATATTAGATTCAATTGATTAAAATAGTATGATAACCAAAAAAATTCCCCCCTTCAATGTTCTTAAAATTTATGTATTTAATAAACAATAAAACAGTTTGAGACCAATACTAAAGTATTAAGTATGTGTTTATGTGAGCATTTGGATATGAGGAACATAGAGTAAATGAGAACAACAGCTAAATCCAAGCAGAGATAACAACAAATAGGGAAAAAACACAGCTAAATACATACAGAAATCTTCAGATTTAGAAAGGACATTACCCTAGAACGTGGTGATGGGCACGTTCCAACCTATGATTTTGATGACTCCATCTTTTGGAGTGAATCAAGCACCACCCGCCACCCTCTTTCACGCCCAAACTTTCTAATATAAAAAATCAAGCAATAAATAACAATAATAAATTTCTAATATAAAAAAGAGGGTGCAGGTTCGAAAGAGAAGAAGAAAGTGCAGGTTCTAATATCAATAGTTCAATAAAAACAAAATTACCTGGCTTGTGGAGACTGCCGACTGGAGTACTTGCCGTTCAGGTTCGAAAGTGGTCTGAGGAACGTGGGCGGGCCGGCAGCAGCAGTTCGCGGTGGTCTGTGGACTGTGAGACCGACGGTGGCCTGAGGAATGGGGGGTGGGTGTGAGACAGTAGCCTGAGGAATCGCAATAGACGGAAGCAGCAGTTGGAGAAGAAAGTAAAGTGGAGGAGGGTGGGTGTGAAAGAGAAAAAGAAAGTAATAAAAGGAAAAAGGAGGGTGGTTGAACACATTAAAGTAGAGAAGAAAGGAAAAAAATAAGGAAGAAAAAATAAAATCTGGCTGACAGGATTTGATGGTACTACCTCTATGTCCACGCATGCGTTTTCACTCTTTTTTTTTTTTTTGAAAACTGCGTTTTCACTAGAGATGTCAATTGTACCCGCACCCGACGGGGAACCCGATTTCCCGTCCCTACGAGAACGGGAATGGAGATAAAAATAGGGGATCGGGGATGGGGATGGGGACAATTTTGAATTCCCCGCCGGGAATGGGGGCGGGGATGGAGAGTACTCTCCCCGCCCCGCCCCGTCCCCGATATATATATATATATATATATATATATATATATATATATATATATATATATATATATATATATATATAGCCACACAACACACACATATGTATTACTTTGTATACAATATATAATTTTAGAAGCATTATTGTTATTGTATGTCATGCTTAGGAAATGCATATTTAAATAACATGTTTAATTGTAAAATATTAAATACTACTTTAAGTTGTGGATGAATATATATGCGTTATTTATTTAAATGATTTTTAATGTTTAATTTTTATTTTTTTTATAACTTATTAACGGGGTGGGGATTCCCCGTCCCTGAATAATCCCCGTGGGGATGGGGATGGGGGGAGTTTTTCCTTCCCCGGCGGGGATGGGGACGGGGATGGGGAATGAGAAAAAAGTCGGGGGCGGGGATGGGGGGTATGTCCCCCGCCTCCACCCCGCCCCGTTGACATCCCTAGTTTTCACTCTTGAAAACAAGTTTGGATTGTGTTTCAGATTTCTTGCAAACAGGACGGAGGCAGTACAAAGCCAAAGGAGGCAGGGGGCAGGGGGCGGATGCCCCCTCACTCCATCCACATCCCATATATAGTCTTTATATGTATATATGTATATATAGTACATATTTTAGTATTAGTAAAAAAAACTATAAAATGTTAACAAGAAGTGAGTTAAGTTAGGTGGTAGAGTACATTTTTGGTAATAATGAGATCAAGGGTTCTAATTTTGGCATCAACATAGTTTTACAATTCTTTTTTAATATGTTTTTTATTCAAATTATTTTATTAATTATGTTTCATATTTTGTTATGAATATTTTTATAAAGTTTTGATGTGTTTTATTTTTCGTTCATATCTAATAATATTTGCAACTATATTTCTTAGGTAATTTATTTATTTATTGTTTCGCATTTACTGAAAAAAAATTTTGAATCCGTCTGTACTGTTTCGCCCTCCTCAATCGAATTTTCTGACTCCGTCCCTGCTTGCAAAAATGGAGAATAGTTTCAATTTGGAAATGAGAAAAGACAATAGTAAACACCTTTGACTATTTTCAATTTTCAAAATTTTTTGAAAATTTCCTGTTAGTAAACAGGACCCGTTTACTAACACAAAACTGTTCTCTAGTTTTTATTTTTAAATTTTTCAGTTTCTATTCTCTGTTTTTTTGTTTAGAAAATGTTTTACTAATATATATTTTTCAATTTTTTTTAGATTAACGCTATAAAATTAACACAAGTTTAATTTCAAGTGTTTTTTTATATTTTATATTTAAAATATTTTTACATATGTTTAGTTTAAATGGAATAAATTTAATTTCTTTTACTTTTAAGTATAATATATGTAAGATTTTTGTATTTAATATCCGAACTAAATTTATATATGTATATAAAACATAATAACTACAAAATAGAGTTAATACCTTCAATGGTCCTCCGAGTATTAACGATATACCAGTCCTGATCATCCGACTTTTAAACGACCATGAGAAGTCCTCCGTCTTTTTTTAAATAACCACATGTATATGGTCCTCCGTTAGGGTTGCTGTCAAGTGGACGTTAAGGGTTGATGGCAAACATGTCATTTCCCATTTCTTTTAATCCTAATGCTGCTACTGGAAAATTCACCTCATTTCTCGTACTCACAACTCACTGATTTGATTACAATTGAGTAATATTCTTAATAGCATCGTTAATGGGTTTCCTTGAACTAATCGTTAGGATTGTTGTTGTTCTGTCTCTTTGGTATTTTGGATTCCTTCAAGTGTTAATGTTTTGGTCTTATCTATCAAATCAAAATAATATATGGTTCCCAAGAATAATGTCATTGTTGGAAAATGAACACAAATGCTGGACAGCTCTGTAAAATGTCTTACTTTTGAGATTAAAATAGATTTCTCTCAAATTCTACTCTCTTACTTCTATTTCCTTAGGTGGCAATAAAGATTGGTTATTTTTATAATGTAGGTGTACAAAAAAATGTCTACATCAACAGGGATGGATCTAGAAATCTTCGTCTCTGGGGCGAAAAATTAAAAACCAATGAAATATTTTGTAAAATACTTAAAAGTCGAGTCATAAATATTGTTAATTAGGATACAAAATTAAAATACACCAACATGAGATTAAAAAATATTCAAAACAAAATATGAAATATTTTTTTGAAGGGAACAAAATATGAAATATAATAAAACACAATGTTTCACAAAATATGAAATATAATTAATTAGATAAAATAGTTCGAATAGAAAATATATTATAAATAACTGATATCACTATTAATATTAAAAAATAAGATTAAAAACGGAATGTTACAAATAAAAAATTCAATTAAAAGTTAATCTCAATATAAATTTAGGTTTTAAACCCCTAACATTTAAGGAAAAATTAAATATCTTACCATCTAAACTAACTCATCATTTGTTTAAACTTATGCAAATTTAGTATTTATAAGTTAACATTGTATATACAAGGGACCTATACACAATATATATACAAATGTGGTGGGGGTGATTGCCCCCATTATGGCTCTGCCACTGTACATCAAGAACATGTGAGAAGGAGTAAAAGTTGGAGTATACAATGAGAATCCACCAAGTAAAGGTCTATTCCCGACCTATTCCATGAACCAAACACGCCATAAGAAAGTTTATCTCTATGTGATCTTTTGCTGACTAAAACTACAAGGCGAAGTCTACGCCATTGAGTAATGACTACATGTTTTTCATGTCACCCGAAACAAATAAATAAATCTCCATGACTTCTATCGTTCATCCCCTGCAAAATCAAAGATTTATGAAATAGTGGGAATGATCTTCAATCTTGGTTCTAATACACACCAACTAATTCTGGAGATATAGAATTTGAACATCAGTGTGTAATTTCGATATCCCTAGCAATATAGATAACAATCACAATGAACATCTGTAACAAGAGAGTTTGAAAATTCAAGAACAGCAGAGAAGAACACACAGGACTTGAACAATCAAGACAAGATTAGAAAGAAATTTGCGCGATCCTAATGGACTTGCAGCTTCTTGAGGAATCATCTGCCATTGCAAGACCTCAACAAACTTGAATTCTTCTTCTTCTACCTATACAAATTTTGACAGATCAAATGGCATCTTCCAAAGAGTTTAGGCATCACCCTTCTCACAAGCACAAAATTGGATAACTTTATATGTATTGCAGGTTCATCTGCCACCTAAAACAATAAATTATTTTATATGATGAGTTATAAAGAAGTAGATGCAATTGGTTTGAACCTCACAGAGTCACAACCATATTGCGATTACAATATGATAACAACAGAGCCACCTAACTTATACCATGACTCCTAACTCACCTTGCTAAACTTATCTTAAGTAAATATTCATTGTGTCATTGTGTGTGAATAAATGCTCAGAAGCATAACGTTCATTGAAATACCTTCTATAAAATCCCCTTTAAGAATGATAAGTTAAAAGTAAAAAAGTCAATTCTTTTGCAAATAGAACAGTGCCTTTGAACTAAATAGATATACATAAAAGGAGATTGATGCACATGGTGCATAGATATACATACCTTGCCTGCAAGCAGTTTTGACTTATTCACAGTTTTCATTCTCTTCTTCAGAGTTTTCGTTGTATGGCAACCCAATCTATGGAAAAAGTTTACAATGGGAAGAAAATTGAAAGACATAAGAAAAAAAGAATACACAGAATATTAATATTATTTCAATATCAAGAAGGAGAATAGGATATCAACCTTAGCTCCAAGATCACGAATAACAAGTTCATCATTGCCAAGGTTTTGTTGCTCTTTTTGAATTTCCTTTGCAGATTTCACGAGGGAAGGATAACAACTGTCTATCTCTACTAGTCGCAGTGTATATCCAAAACTGTCATTTGGAAGTTTTTTCAAGTCCCAGCAAAATTTTAGGATTAGGCACTCCAGTTTGGGGAAATTCTCAGCATCTGCATTCCAGCATTTGAGATTTGAATGTGCAATGACAAGGTGCTTTAATTTAGGAAACAAACCATCTTGTAGTTTCCACTCTGGACCATAGAATGCGAAATTTTTCAGCTTGAGAACCTCGAGGTTTTGCAAGCTTCTAATAATGTCCATGTCCTTCCACGGAAGATAAGTACTACGAAGAGTCAACTTTTTGAGGTTTTTTTGGAAGAGTAGTTGGAAAATAAAAGCGCTTAACACTTCCCATTTCAATTTTTAATTTCTCAAGCAAATTCAACTTGACAAGACTGTCAAAAGCACTAGGCAGCAGTTCATTGTCAATGTAAACACATAGTTCCTTCAACTTTGGAACTTTTGTAAAGTCCGTTGTTCTTGAGTCTTGGCCAATAACTTTCAACCAAAGCAGAGTCTTCAGATTTTCTTGAACCTGTTGTGGCAGATATAGCGAAGATATCTTGTCAACGTGCACGTGCCTTAACCATGGCAATTCCAAAATATCTCGAGGCAATTGCAAACGACATCCTTTCTTCCACGAGCGAAAAATGAGAGTTTGCAAATTTTTAAGCTTAATCAGCTTAAAGTTACCAATAGAGCCTAAAGCAGATAAAGACAAGTATCGCAAGTGAACCAAATCCTCTAGTTCAGTAGGCAAGCCATACCAACATTTTATTAATGATAAGTCCAATACTC